ACAGTTTGATGACTTGGCAGTTTGATGAAGTTTGGTTGTGTAGTTGGGATGTTCCTATGCTGGAGAGTATCAGATGTGGCTAGAGGTTGCTGTGTCTTCTGGGCAGAAAGGGGAATCTGCCAACCCACATTCTGAGATGGCCCCAGAGTTTTCAGCCCAGACAGGTCCATCTGGGAACATTCAGTGGCATCATTTTTTTTTCGAGATGAGTAGTCAAGTCTAGAATTTTTAATCGAATTTAACCTTGAAAGTCTGTGAACATGGCATAGTTTTGGGATGACCTGGGTTCATTCCCCAGCCTTCCAGGAGTAATCACTGAGTGCATAGCCAGGATAACCCCTGACTGCATCAGATGTAGCTCAAAGCAAGCAAACAAAAAAGTAATTTAAAATAGGAAAAAGTTCACATACTTTTTTTTTTAGAGTAATCCTGAAAGTTTGCTTAGAAACTTTTAGTGTTGTAGAGATTTATTTATTTATTTATTTATTTATTTTAACAGCTAAAAGGAAATTCCCAATTCTTCCATGACATTCACGACCTGTCCCCCTTCCCTATCTCTGCTGTGTCTTGTTGAAAGGGGCAAGCTGCTTTCTTGGGCACCATACCAGACTAACTCCCATATTACGTCTTGACAGTGACCCTTCTTTCCTGTCTCTTGGGGTTCTTTCCAAGTAAAATTAAGGTTTTGTGATAATTTTAAAGAAGTGTGGACTGCAAGAGGGCTGGGGCTATATTTTTTTTCTCTCTGGTTCTCAGGACTATACCTCAGACTGGTAGGACCCATAAATTATTGGAAAATTGAGTGCTTAAATTGCAAGAAAAGAAGCTGTTGTCATGTTATTTGCTTTCCGTTGTAGAGACTACTAGAAAGAACCAAGCCCTGAAAATACGAGGGAATTATAATGGTGTAATTTGCTTAAAATTTAAAAATCTGGGCCTAGAGAGATAGTGTATCAGGTAAGGCACTTGCTTGCATGTGGTCAACGACGTTCATTCAATGGCATTGCACATGATCCCTTCACTCCTGCCAGGACTGAACCCAGAGTACTGTCCCTAAACAGAAATAACAAAATAAAGTTAAAATGCAAAACTAAAATTGAAATACAAAGAAAACATTGAAAATGTAGCCATAATATTTCCCATCTTTTTTTGTTAGGACAAAGAAATCTTGAGAAACTTCTAAGTTGTGAGTAGAAAAGAAAAAGGAATATCATTGGAAGACATCTCAAGCCTTCCACTGAATTCATCGGTTGGATAAATTTCAAAAGCCTTAAGAAATTTCAAATTAAATTTCAGTAGAAAATAATTTAAGTGTAATCTTTGAAGTAGTTTTAGTGTTTTATATGACACAGGGCTGCATACTTGCTTTATCAGGACTATGGAGACAGAAGACTCAGAAGGGACTCAACTAAGACATTGTGCTATAATGAATTTTTCCTCCATCCCCAATTTAAATGAAAAATGTCTTTTAGTCCTGTAATATTTTTAATCATTGGAGCCCCATCCAATATATTAACTTCCTATAAGAGAGCTTAAATAGTCAGTGATTTCATCAGCAAAGAGACAAAAAGGCACCAAGTAATATGTACATGCGGGCCAAAGTATTCACTTAAAAATAATATCCCTTATTTGACCACTTGATGTATGTAGTCTTCCTTCCCACAAATAAGTAGATAAAATGGAGCCCATTTTATTTGTGAGGTAGATATGTGAAGGTCCATAGCACATATAATTTATGGGACCCTTGAGTCCAAATTGTTTTAGAGGGATACTTTGGCCACTCCCTTCATTGCAAATATGAGGAAATCTGGTAAAAACATCCATTTTTCCTGCTTCAGCTCCTCTTACTACTCATATCTTTCTCTTGGTACTTGGAGATATGTAGAAAAATTCTGGAAGTGTGTATACATCTAAGTGAAGAGCAGTTGCCATTCGAGAGTGGCAGTGAGGAAAGAATACTTATTTTCTCTTATTCAGGATGCCATTAGCGGTTAAAAACATGGCATTGTTTACCTTTTGGTTTCAACATGTTTGACTTGTATAATTACTGTATTTAACTTGATATTTTTAGTATAATGAAAAATGAGAAATAATAATAGTATTTTTTTTCTGATTTTCCTGGTGTTTGATCTCCTTCGTGTTGAGAAAATGGAAATATAGATACTCCCTATTTAAGAGATCTGCTTGAGCAAAGGTGCCTTTATTGCTTGATTTACTGCTCTGGGTTTCAGCGTTCACTTGATTGTTACTTGAGAGTTTCTCACTGATGCTTCAGTGAAGGTTTTGTGGTACTTTGATTTTGTTCTGAACAGGCTTTAGAGGCACCACCCTCCCCCGCCTCCAGCCCCCAGTAAGAATTTTTTGGAATGTTCTAAAATGTTCAGTAAGTATAATCTAATATCCTAGTAGTCCTTATGCTAGAAATAAACATCATATTTTTCCCGTAATGCATACTTTATAATTTCTGTATTTTCATATCCAATTCTGTATCATTCATTCATTAGACTAGTCAACCCCTTCACCAGTTATTAGTAACCTTAGTTTTTAGCTTATGAATCTTACTTGAGTTTTTTTTTTTGTAGTAAAATGCATAGAAATACTTTATAATTTTCCCCATTTGGTGGGTTTGACTTTGAGGGCCTTAATTCTCATTTAACTATGTTAAAGTGAATTCAAAGTAACATTTGAAATGCATGTGTGCCTTCCTTTACTTTTCAGCTAAGTTGCTTTTTTTTTTAATCTCTCTATGACCTTAGTAGGGATCCTGATTTTCATAAGACCAGCCTGGCTTATCCTCAGTGTATTCTTATCCTCATTTGACTGAAAACAACAAAATAATAAAAACTGCATTTCAGGAATTTGTCAGGCAGGCATAAATGTGCCTTTATAGCTTCCTTTATCCTTCAGATTTTCTGGTAAGGGCTAGGATGAAGCTAAGTAATAGAGCATGGGTCTTTGCATATATGAGGCCCTAAATTTGATCCCTGCCCCTGGAGAAGCTAGAAAGAAACCATTTTATGTGCCCTGTGTGAAAAGTATTTAGGCCATCAGTTCTACTGAAATAAAACCTAAATTCCAAATAAAGTTAGAGAGCTAAACACCTGGACTGCAGCAAACTAACCTTTTCTTCAGAATAATGCTGCTGAAAGGCCCTTCAGCGTGAGGCCACTGACTCTGGGTAGCCGTAAGTGAACTGCTGTGGAGGGTGCTCTTGATTACATAACACCAGTCTCTCGCTCTGAACTGCCAAGAGTGAGTTTCCTTCTGAGCTTGCCAAGACCACTTTGGCTGTGGATGCTCTTAGTTCTGGACCCGGTTGTTCCTCTCTTTTTCTTTTAACTACTGTAGAGTTCAGCATTTTGAGGTCTTCCCGTCTCAAAATTATATAGCTACATAGAATATGGTTTTGTGTACCAATCTCATTGCAGTTTCAGATTTACTTTCTTACCCTTCTTTTCCTTTAACTCAATTTCTGTCCTGTAAATGACAGAGTTTAAATATTTTTCCCTTAATTTTATTTATTTTATACCGAAGCGGTTGATTTCTGAATTGGTTTTGAAATCATTTAATAGAATTTTAAATGTGCCTGTTCTCATTTGCATTAATCATTTTACAGCATTTAAATATTTAAAACCATTTTGGGTGTTTCAGGGGGACTATAATGGGCACATAAAATAACCATTTGATTATTGTTTCAAGTAATGCAAATCAGTGAATAACTCTGTTATAGGAACAAAATTATATAATTACATATTTACTTTTGCTTATATAAACATTATCAAGATCTAGAAAATTAGATTTCAGTGCAGTTCACTGTCTCTAGACCCAAAGGAAAAAAATATGCTAAGACAGTGGAGGTCACTATTATGATTTCTGAGAAGGACTACAGCCTGTTCCCTCATCTGTTGGAACAGGCAAATTTTCAAAAGTAAAATCGCTTTTCAATATTTTGTAGATTTTAGTAATCTGATAAATGAGCAATTTATTCATTGTCTTTCTGATACCCATACAGTGGATTATCCATAGCAACAGTCCCTTTCAAACTTAATAAGACCAAGTCAGTATTTATTAGGGAAATAATACCTTCAGGTTAAATAAACTGTGACTGTTGGTTGTATCTATTTACTCCCTTTCAAAGAGAACTGAACCTTCAGTGTGTACCATGTTGTAGCTCATTAGAGAAAATGAATTGCGGTATGACTCTGTGGTTCTGATGTGCCACTTTTATGGTGCATTTAGAGTCAAAAATGGTGATGAGCAAATAAGCTTTAGAAATAAAGTACTATTTTGTGTTTTGAAAATAGGGTCTAATTAGTCTCTATAGCAAAAATCAGAGATGTATTATGGTAAATACTACTACTTCAAGTTAGTAGCAGATAAAAGAATACTTAATAATTGCCCCAGGAAAACATATTACATTGATGTAAAATCTGTAAGAAAGACTATGCTTCAGTAAAAAGATACTTTCAAAATTAGGAATTTTCATAAGAAAACAGGCTCATTTTAAAGAACTTGTTGTTGTTGAAATGTAGATTAAACCCCAAATCTTTTTTTGTGTCTGTCATTGAGAAGTGAAGTAGTATTTAAAAATCACTAAATGTTAGAGTTCATGTAATTCAATATCTTTAATTTACATGACTTTAGAAATTGTTGCAAAAACTTAATATCTTTGATTTCAAATATTCTTTTGCAATATATTTATACACACACACATGTATTTACCTAAAACTTTTTAAAAGTCCATTCTACAAGGTATACAAGTAGAAATATATAAAAATCTCTTATGAAGGCAGTTGATTAAAAATTCCATTTTGTTTTCTTAATATAATTGAATGGAATACTTTTTTTAAAAATTTCATGTAGTTCATTGGAACTCTGTGTTTGTGAATTGGTCAAACCTATTTTGATAAAAATATTTCTATATTAAAGTTCTATTTATTTGATGAATATTTTTTGTAGTGTTGGTACTTACATTATTTTACTTCTGCTTATACTTACAGATTCTGGGATTTTTCAAAAGCTGACCCTCTCCTTGAAACAGTAGAGCATCATACAGAGTTTACTTGTGGTTTGGATCTAAGTCTCCAGAGTCCTACTCAGGTAATGGAAGTGATCTCCTAATGTTTTGATTGTTTACCCATACAATTCACAAGTAGCTATTTATGTTGCTTTTATGAACAAAATTGTTTCTTTGGGATAAAGCAAATATATTTACCCTGACCTCTTTTGCTACGTAAACATGAGTATTATTAGAGCATTTGAAATAGGAGGGAAGGAGTATCCAGAAACTTAGTAAAAACTTGACTCTAATAATACTTTTCCCCCAGATATTGTGCCTACTATGTTGAAGGTTTTTTGAGTGGAAAGGGTGGCAAGAGAGGGATAGAATAGGAAATGAAAGGATTGCCCAGGTCAAGAGCACCCGGTCCTTTATATTCCTCCCTCTTAGTAGTTAATACACTAAACAGGTTGGTCATTTCCTCTCAGGATTGTCCTTGTTGATCTATCTAGAGGTGGTAAGGCGATGTTGAAGTCTCCAGCTACTATTGTGTTGCTAGCAATGTCCTCCTTAAAATCTGTTAGCAGTTGTTTTAAATATTTAGCTGTTCCCTCATTAGGTGCATATACATTTAAGAGTGTGATTTCTTCCTGTTGTACGTATCCCTTGATGAAGAGAAAATAGCCTTTGCTGTCCCTTCTAATGTTTTTCAACCTGAAATTGATGTTGTTGGATACTAGTATGGCCACCCCAGCTTTTTTGAGGGAGCTGTTTGCTTGCAGGATTGTTTTCCATCCTTTCACTCTGAGTCTGTGTTTTCTCTGACTGTTGAGTTGAGTTTCTTGTAGGCAGCAGAATGTTGGGTTCTCTGAATCCACTTTTCCACTCTGTGTCTCTTAATTGGTGAGTTTAGACCATTGATGTTGAGAGAGATTATTGTTATGGGGTTTTGTGTCATCTTTCTATAAGGGTCTGTTGTGTTTGTAGGGTTTGTCTTGTCTTATAGTAGCCCCTTTAGCCCTTCTTTCAGGTTTGATTTTGAGTGTATGAAGTTCCTGAGCTGCTGTTTATCTAGAAAATAGTGTATCGTTCCTTCGATTTTTAGTGAGAGTTTAGCCGGATAGAGTATTCTTGGTGAAGCATTCATTTCAGTGACTTTTTTCACTGTATCTTACCATTGCCTTTGGGCTTGGAGGGTTTCCTCTGATAGGTCTGCTTTGAATCTAAGGGGTGCTCCTTTGTATGTGATTTCCTTCTTTGACCTTGCTGCTTGCAGTATTGTGTCTCTATCGGCAACATTGAACATTCTAACTATGATCTTTCTTGAAGTGTTTTTGTTAGGGTCTCTTTTAGCTGACACCCTTTGGTCTCCTTGAACCTAAAGGGCTGCATTGTCGAGCTCTGGGAATTTTTCGGCAATGATTTGTTTAACCGTGGCTTTTTCATTGGGATTGTTTCCCTGAGCTTCTGGTAGTCCAATGATTCTAATAATTCTAATCTATTAGAATCTAATCTATTAGAATTTTCTCCTAGGACTCTGATTCACTCTAGAGCTATTTTGAGGTCCCTTGCCATTGTTTGTTGTTGCCTGTTGGATTGGTGCAGCTGATCTTCCAGCTCACTGATTCTGTCTTCAGCTGTGGTCATTCTACTGTTGAGGGCACAGAGTGAGTTTTTTTTATTTCATCTATGGAATCTTTACTTCGTGACATTTCTGTGCATAGCTTTCCAATTTCTCCTCTCATTTCTTCCTGGATTTTCTCGATTGTCCGGTCCATTGTTTTTTCATGTCCTCCTACAATTTACTGGATATCTGACTGACTGTTTCATTGAGTTCATTGAACATCTTCATGACTTCATATCTGAATTCTTTGTCAGAGAGGTCCCTTAGGTGAGTAGCACCTATGGAGGATTCTGGACTCTTCATCGTCCTCCCCACGTGGTGAGGATTTGCGTTGTTTCTTCATGTTGGTGTGTAGGGTATGGGTACTAGATTTCTTGGTATGACTAAACTACCTGTGGCCACAGTAGCGTCTGCTCGCCTAAAACTAGGCCATGCCCACTTCTACCAAAGCCATGCCCACTTCTGAAAAGGCCACGCCCCCACGGGTACCTGGTGTGTGTGTGTGTGTGTGTGTGTGTGTGTGTGTGTGTGTGTGTGTGAAGGGTGGGTTGGGGGTTAAAGGCTGGGTGGGAAAGAAGACCAGCACAGCTTTGGGGACGAAGAGGAAGAGGCAGAGGCTCAGGACTACTTTTGTCCCAGGCTCCGAGAGGATGCCTGGGGCGCTTGCAAGGAGAAAGCCAAGTCCCGGGTTCAATACCTGCGAATAAACTGGCCTGGGTGGGGAAGAAGACCAGTACAGCTTTGGGGACAAAGAGCCCTCTCAGGATTGTCACCCTCATTCATATACCTTTTATTAAAAGAGAGGCCTCAGGTAGGAAGCAAAAGTAGAAGAGAGTGGCTAGTTTTTCAGTCTTTCTTCAGTGAAAAAAAAAATCAAACATTTTATTTCTTTCTCTTTTTCTTTTGAGAATCTGAGGGTCAAAATTTTATGCTTAAAATAGTCTTTAGCCTTTTAGGTTTATTTTTGTGCCCCCCCCCCCCCCCCCCCCCCAGTATACTCAGGGATCACTCCTGGCTGTGCTTGTAAACCCTTATCTGGTGCTGGAGGCTGACCTGGATCAGTCAAGTGCAAAGCAAACACCTTACTCACTGTACTCTTTCTCTGGCTCTGGTCTTTTTATTTATAAGCTGTTTGGTTTCAGAAATGATAAACCTTGGTAAAAAATGTAAAAGCACACTATGTCAGGTGATATGACACTTTATTATTAGATACTTGCCTTGAAGTTAGCTGACTTAAGTTTGCCCTGGCAACTTCCTATGGTCTTTCAAGCCCATCAGGAATGATTCCTGAGCCTAGAGACAGGATAAGTCCCAATCACTGTGGAGTGTGGCCCAAAATAAAAAAAAAAAAAAAAAAAAAGGAAAGAGAAGAAAAGAAATTCTAGAGTATAACTAAGTATGGTTTTAAACAAAAAACAAGTCCTATCTCACTTTACTGTGCTCTTAATTTAATACAAATTTATATTACTAAATGAATATATTAATAATTTAATATCAACACATTAAATATTAATATATTAATAAATTTTAATACTTAAATTTATATATGTATATTTTTAATTTTGTTGAATCACTGTGAGATACAGTTACAAAGCTTTCATTTTTGAGATTCAGCCATTCAATGATCGAATACCCATCCTCCACCAGTGCACATTTTCCACCGCCAGTGTCTCCAGTATCCCCCATCCCTATCTCACTCTTCACCCTGCCTCTATGTCTGACAATTTCCCCAATACTCTCTCTCTGCTTTGGGGCATTATTTTTTGCCTGAATTTTCCCACCACCATTCTAAACTTGCCTGCCAGGAGCAAATGCTAGATAATTTATTTTTCATTGCTCATTTTGAATATCATGAGAGTTCTGGGATCCTAGATTGTAGATGGTTGGATGCCAGAGACATCTCTGTAGGGCACTAATCCATTTTGGGACCAGGGCTGTTGGTGCGCCAAGATGGTGCCTGGTGGAAGCTTGTGGGCGTGACAGCTAGGCTGAAGAGTGGGCAGAGAGTGGGGGAGGGATGCTCGGTGCCTCTGCTGCCATGTGGCCTGGAGATTTAGTCCTGGTACCCTCATACCTGGACCTTGCTTGTGGGAGCTCTTGGGTGCTGGGATTCCATATGGAGTAGGCGACTTAAATTTAAATTAATACATTTATTTTAGGAATTTAAGACAATTTGGAGTTAAAATATTCTCATTACGTATTTGAATATTCTTATTACATGAATAATTGTTTGAAAAATTAATAGCATCTGAAATAGAAGAAACAAATCATTAAAGGTGAGATGAAATTATCTTTAAGTATAATGTGCTTCAAATGAGCCAGTTACTTTTCAGAGAAATACTTTATGATGAGCAATATTAAATAATCATACCTTTTTCTATTTGATAAGTCTGCATACTGAAGTGTGGCAATAAGAAATAAAGGATTCCACATAAATATTCTCTTCTCATATTCCTGTTAGTATGTTCTTAGTCCCAGACTGCGATCTGGGACAGCCCATGTTCTTCTTCCCTTCTATCAGTCTAGTGAGGCCTGATCCAATTCTTAGGTACATTCAAAATGTTTTCTGAATCATTCACATGTGGCTACCTTACTAAAACAAACTTTGTTAATCCCCAGCACTGAAAAAAAAAAAAAAAGAAAAAAGAGAATTTATTGCTTCATTCATAGACAGGCTCTTGGGATTAGAGGGATCTCAGAGAAGAACACTCCTTATTTATTGGCTTACTAGACATTTTCAGATCAGACCATGTACTGACTATGGGAGATCAGTGGTTTCCGCTTTCGAAGAATTTAGACCACTGTGAAATGAAATAGTCTCACAAAACAATGTAGCCTGTGACACTCTATGAAGAAGCACACACATGGTTTCTTAAGAAACTGGAGGAATATTACAGTGGGCAAGGCACTGCCTTCCCTGTAGCCTACCGGAGATTGATCCCCAGCACCACATATAATCCCCTAAATCTCACCAGGTGTGATCCCTGAGCACAGAGCTAGGACTAAACCCTCAGTACTGCCTGGTGTCCAGTGTGATTTCACCCCCATTCTCTTTTTAAAGAAAATATCTGTATATTTTTAATTGAGTACTGAAATCAGTAACTAGATTTTATAATTTCTCGCTATTTTTTACTATTAGTTTTTTATATATATATGGATATGTGTGTATATGTGTGTAGGTATATATTCTCTGCTTGTTATTAGATAATATAAATGAAACATTGAAGCTTATATAATTTTTAATTTAAAAAAAATGTCTTGGTTTGGGGCTACTCCTGACTTGGTTCCCAGCACTTGTTCTTAGTGGTACTCATGCAGTGTTGAGGATTGAGCCTGAGACTCTCACATGTAAAACACGAACTATTTCCCCAGCTCCTGAACCTATTATTGATATATTTTTAATCTTTAAAAAATTTATTACATACTATTACATACTGACTGCTTTTCTTAATGCTCTTTTAACAATTGATTTACACA